GTTTGGAAATGTCTCTGTAAGCTCATTGTCATATTCCTGTTCCTCTTGTGTGGTGTTTGTGTGTATTACAAGTTTGGAAATGTCTCTGTAAGCTCCTTGTCAAATTCTTGTACCTCCTGTCCGGTGTTTGTGTGTATTACAAGTTTGGAAATGTCTCTGTAAGCTCCTTGTCATATTCCTGTTCCTCTTGTGTGATGTTTGTGTGTATTACAAGTTTGGAAATGTCTCTGTAAGCTCCTTGTCATATTCTTGTACCTCCTGTCTGGTGTTTGTGTGTGTATCACAAAGTGTCTCTGTAAGTTCCTTGTCATATTCCTGTTCCTCTTGTGTGGTGTTTGTGTGTATCACAAGTTTGGAAATGTCTCTGTAAGCTTCTTGTCATATTCCTGTTCCTCTTGTGTGGTGTTTGTGTGTATTACAATTTTGGAAATGTCTCTGTAAGCTCCTTGTCATATTCTTGTACCTCCTGTCTGGTGTTTGTGTGTGTATCACAAAGTGTCTCTGTAAGTTCCTTGTCATATTCCTGTTCCTCTTGTGTGGTGTTTGTGTGTATTACAAGTTTGGAAATGTCTCTGTATGCTCCTTTTCAAATTCTTGTACCTCCTGTCCGGTGTTTGTGTGTATTGCAAGTTTGGAAATGTCTCTGTAAGCTCCTTGTCATATTCCTGTTCCTCTTGTGTGGTGTTTGTGTGTATTACAAGTTTGGAAATGTCTCTGTAAGCTCCTTGTCAAATTCTTGTACCTCCTGTCCGGTGTTTGTGTGTATTGCAAGTTTGGAAATGTCTCTGTAAGCTCCTTGTCATATTCCTGTTCCTCTTGTGTGGTGTTTGTGTGTTTTACAAGTTTGGAAATGTCTCTGTAAGCTCCTTGTCATATTCCTGTTCCTCTTGTGTGGTGTTTGTGTGTATTACAAGTTTGGAAATGTCTCTGTAAGCTCCTTGTCAAATTCTTGTACCTCCTGTCCGGTGTTTGTGTGTATTGCAAGTTTGGAAATGTCTCTGTAAGCTCCTTGTCATATTCCTGTTCCTCTTGTGTGGTGTTTGTGTGTATTACAAGTTTGGAAATGTCTCTGTAAGCTCCTTGTCAAATTCTTGTACCTCCTGTCCGGTGTTTGTGTGTATTGCAAGTTTGGAAATGTCTCTGTAAGCTCCTTGTCATATTCCTGTTCCTCTTGTGTGGTGTTTGTGTGTATTACAAGTTTGGAAATGTCTCTATAAGCTCCTTGTCAAATTCTTGTACCTCCTGTCCGGTGTTTGTGTGTATTACAAGTTTGGAAATGTCTCTGTAAGCTCCTTGTCATATTCCTGTTCCTCTTGTGTGATGTTTGTGTGTATTACAAGTTTGGAAATGTCTCTGTAAGCTCCTTGTCATATTCTTGTACCTCCTGTCTGGTGTTTGTGTGTGTATCACAAAGTGTCTCTGTAAGTTCCTTGTCATATTCCTGTTCCTCTTGTGTGGTGTTTGTGTGTATCACAAGTTTGGAAATGTCTCTGTAAGCTTCTTGTCATATTCCTGTTCCTCTTGTGTGGTGTTTGTGTGTATTACAAGTTTGGAAATGTCTCTGTAAGCTCCTTGTCATATTCCTGTTCCTCTTGTGTGGTGTTTGTGTGTATTACAAGTTTGGAAATGTCTCTGTAAGCTCCTTGTCATATTCTTGTACCTCCTGTCTGGTGTTTGTGTGTGTATCACAAAGTGTCTCTGTAAGTTCCTTGTCATATTCCTGTTCCTCTTGTGTGGTGTTTGTGTGTATCACAAGTTTGGAAATGTCTCTGTAAGCTTCTTGTCATATTCCTGTTCCTCTTGTGTGGTGTTTGTGTGTATTACAAGTTTGGAAATGTCTCTGTAAGCTCCTTGTCAAATTCTTGTACCTCCTGTCCGGTGTTTGTGTGTATTGCAAGTTTGGAAATGTCTCTGTAAGCTCCTTGTCATATTCCTGTTCCTCTTGTGTGGTGTTTGTGTGTATTACAAGTTTGGAAATGTCTCTGTAAGCTCCTTGTCAAATTCTTGTACCTCCTGTCCGGTGTTTGTGTGTATTGCAAGTTTGGAAATGTCTCTGTAAGCTCCTTGTCATATTCCTGTTCCTCTTGTGTGGTGTTTGTGTGTATTACAAGTTTGGAAATGTCTCTATAAGCTCCTTGTCAAATTCTTGTACCTCCTGTCCGGTGTTTGTGTGTATTACAAGTTTGGAAATGTCTCTGTAAGCTCCTTGTCATATTCCTGTTCCTCTTGTGTGATGTTTGTGTGTATTACAAGTTTGGAAATGTCTCTGTAAGCTCCTTGTCATATTCTTGTACCTCCTGTCTGGTGTTTGTGTGTGTATCACAAAGTGTCTCTGTAAGTTCCTTGTCATATTCCTGTTCCTCTTGTGTGGTGTTTGTGTGTATCACAAGTTTGGAAATGTCTCTGTAAGCTTCTTGTCATATTCCTGTTCCTCTTGTGTGGTGTTTGTGTGTATTACAAGTTTGGAAATGTCTCTGTAAGCTCCTTGTCATATTCCTGTTCCTCTTGTGTGGTGTTTGTGTGTATTACAAGTTTGGAAATGTCTCTGTAAGCTCCTTGTCATATTCCTGTTCCTCTTGTGTGGTGTTTGTGTGTATTACAAGTTTGGAAATGTCTCTGTAAGCTCCTTGTCATATTCTTGTACCTCCTGTCTGGTGTTTGTGTGTGTATCACAAAGTGTCTCTGTAAGTTCCTTGTCATATTCCTGTTCCTCTTGTGTGGTGTTTGTGTGTATTACAAGTTTGGAAATGTCTCTGTATGCTCCTTTTCAAATTCTTGTACCTCCTGTCCGGTGTTTGTGTGTATTGCAAGTTTGGAAATGTCTCTGTAAGCTCCTTGTCATATTCCTGTTCCTCTTGTGTGGTGTTTGTGTGTATTACAAGTTTGGAAATGTCTCTGTAAGCTCCTTGTCAAATTCTTGTACCTCCTGTCCGGTGTTTGTGTGTATTGCAAGTTTGGAAATGTCTCTGTAAGCTCCTTGTCATATTCCTGTTCCTCTTGTGTGGTGTTTGTGTGTATTACAAGTTTGGAAATGTCTCTGTAAGCTCCTTGTCATATTCCTGTTCCTCTTGTGTGGTGTTTGTGTGTATTACAAGTTTGGAAATGTCTCTGTAAGCTCCTTGTCAAATTCTTGTACCTCCTGTCCGGTGTTTGTGTGTATTGCAAGTTTGGAAATGTCTCTGTAAGCTCCTTGTCATATTCCTGTTCCTCTTGTGTGGTGTTTGTGTGTATTACAAGTTTGGAAATGTCTCTGTAAGCTCCTTGTCAAATTCTTGTACCTCCTGTCCGGTGTTTGTGTGTATTACAAGTTTGGAAATGTCTCTGTAAGCTCCTTGTCATATTCCTGTTCCTCTTGTGTGATGTTTGTGTGTATTACAAGTTTGGAAATGTCTCTGTAAGCTCCTTGTCATATTCTTGTACCTCCTGTCTGGTGTTTGTGTGTGTATCACAAAGTGTCTCTGTAAGTTCCTTGTCATATTCCTGTTCCTCTTGTGTGGTGTTTGTGTGTATCACAAGTTTGGAAATGTCTCTGTAAGCTTCTTGTCATATTCCTGTTCCTCTTGTGTGGTGTTTGTGTGTATTACAATTTTGGAAATGTCTCTGTAAGCTCCTTGTCATATTCTTGTACCTCCTGTCTGGTGTTTGTGTGTGTATCACAAAGTGTCTCTGTAAGTTCCTTGTCATATTCCTGTTCCTCTTGTGTGGTGTTTGTGTGTATTACAAGTTTGGAAATGTCTCTGTATGCTCCTTTTCAAATTCTTGTACCTCCTGTCCGGTGTTTGTGTGTATTGCAAGTTTGGAAATGTCTCTGTAAGCTCCTTGTCATATTCCTGTTCCTCTTGTGTGGTGTTTGTGTGTTTTACAAGTTTGGAAATGTCTCTGTAAGCTCCTTGTCATATTCCTGTTCCTCTTGTGTGGTGTTTGTGTGTATTACAAGTTTGGAAATGTCTCTGTAAGCTCCTTGTCAAATTCTTGTACCTCCTGTCCGGTGTTTGTGTGTATTGCAAGTTTGGAAATGTCTCTGTAAGCTCCTTGTCATATTCCTGTTCCTCTTGTGTGGTGTTTGTGTGTATTACAAGTTTGGAAATGTCTCTGTAAGCTCCTTGTCAAATTCTTGTACCTCCTGTCCGGTGTTTGTGTGTATTGCAAGTTTGGAAATGTCTCTGTAAGCTCCTTGTCATATTCCTGTTCCTCTTGTGTGGTGTTTGTGTGTATTACAAGTTTGGAAATGTCTCTATAAGCTCCTTGTCAAATTCTTGTACCTCCTGTCCGGTGTTTGTGTGTATTACAAGTTTGGAAATGTCTCTGTAAGCTCCTTGTCATATTCCTGTTCCTCTTGTGTGATGTTTGTGTGTATTACAAGTTTGGAAATGTCTCTGTAAGCTCCTTGTCATATTCTTGTACCTCCTGTCTGGTGTTTGTGTGTGTATCACAAAGTGTCTCTGTAAGTTCCTTGTCATATTCCTGTTCCTCTTGTGTGGTGTTTGTGTGTATCACAAGTTTGGAAATGTCTCTGTAAGCTTCTTGTCATATTCCTGTTCCTCTTGTGTGGTGTTTGTGTGTATTACAAGTTTGGAAATGTCTCTGTAAGCTCCTTGTCATATTCCTGTTCCTCTTGTGTGGTGTTTGTGTGTATTACAAGTTTGGAAATGTCTCTGTAAGCTCCTTGTCATATTCTTGTACCTCCTGTCTGGTGTTTGTGTGTGTATCACAAAGTGTCTCTGTAAGTTCCTTGTCATATTCCTGTTCCTCTTGTGTGGTGTTTGTGTGTATCACAAGTTTGGAAATGTCTCTGTAAGCTTCTTGTCATATTCCTGTTCCTCTTGTGTGGTGTTTGTGTGTATCACAAGTTTGGAAATGTCTCTGTAAGCTTCTTGTTATATTCTTGTACCTCCTGTATGGTATCTGTGTGTATTACAAGTTTGAAAGCTTCTTGGCAAATGCTTGTAGCTCATGTGTGGCAATTGTGTGTATTACAAGTTTGAAAGTATCTCTTGTAGCTCCTGTACGGCATGATGGTATTGGACGAGTCAGACCAGATGTACATAGACAACCTGTGCAGCCATGTCCTGGGCCAAGTGTACAGGGAGCCTGCAGGGGAAATCCTGCTGGGCACGGTCCTCCTCCCCACCCCACCAGCCAACGTTGGTGAGTAGCAGCAAAGGCTGGAAGGCACATTTAGTCACACTAAGAAAGTATATGTCCCAGAAGTGGATTCAATAATATTATCTTTCCCATTTACACATGAGCATCTGTTGTTTATAACAGTCTCTGACTGATTCAGGGATCTTAGAAAAAATTGCCGAATTCCTGTTAGAGCTTTTTAGACAAGGACATCTTTCAACCAACTTCATTAGTTTTGCAGAATTTGCACTTTTTTTTGGCACTTTTTCACAGATATCAAACATACAGTCATGCTTGAGACAGAAACTTGCTTTATTCAATGAATTTGTGCCCTGTTCACATTAAAACAGATATTTATTTGCAGCAAAACATTTATTTATTTCTATTTTTTTTTAATGGAAAAATACCAAATGCTTGAAGAATTATATTCAGATTTTAGATCATCTGCAGAAGTTTAAATAATTTTGTTACAGATTCCCTCATAGAAAAAAAATCAACACTGGTGCATAACAAGTGTAGGTCTGTGTTATGATGAAACACTTCCAGTTATGAATGTTTTGTTATTAAAGCACATTGCATGTGATTGCCAACAGATCCTACGGAGTACGGCGACTGGTTTGAGCGTGTGGGTGATGACACCATGACCATGCCTGCCCTGCAGCTTGGGGCAGGGGTGGAGAAGGAGCGATGTGAAGCCAGGTGGGACACCCAGCTTTGTACTACAACAGATAGGGGGGGTTTGGGGGTGGGGGGCGGTATCGCTCTCGGATTTAACATGGGGACCATATATTTCAGTTTTCAAAAGTAGGGATGAAATTCAAGGGTTTTTCAAGATGTTTCGGCTCTCAAGATGAAATACTACAGCAGATAACCTCAATGACCATACCTTCTCACTTTTTGACACTGTAACCATGGTTACTTTCAGAATAAGAGTGAGTAAATGTGTAGTTGAGTTTAATTCTGGTTTGAAAAGTATTCCAGTTACATTAGGCAGGTCTCAGACCTTTTTCAATTCAGTGAAATCCACAAGCAAAGGTATGGTGATGACAAACCTAGAAACAATCAGGGCAGACTTGGATTCAAACCCATGATCATAGGGCTCTGGCATGTCCAAGGGATGCAACTCTGCACAGTGAATTGTGGTGCTTTTGATGGATGGGCTACCCATGCCCTTTTCAGTATGGGAAGGCAAAGACCAACTTTAGACTTTTCACAACAGATTTGTTCATAATTTGCATACCTGCACAGAACTCACAGCCTTATACCTCATTAAAGAGGGGTTACTCAATACAGTTTGCCCAAATACACCATAGACTCTTCACAACAGATTTGTTCATCATACACATGCTGCATACATGTACAGACCTCACAGCCTTATACCTCATTAAGGAGGGGTTACTCAATGCAAATACATGTTTATACCCTGAGGAGATTTTATGAAAGTCTGTTAATAACTGAGAAACTTCAGCAACAGTTTATGCTCCATGGTCCGTGATGTTAAAACTTGCAGCCTGTGTTATTTCCTCAGTGCCAGTACATTCATCAATCACCTGGACCTGATGTTCGAAACCCAGAACAGTGAAGCTGGAGACATTTCCACCTCTTCCAACAACACTGTCAACATTGCCAAACTACGCTCAGCTCTTGACATCTGCCTGGAAGAGTTGCCCCCCTTGCTGGAGCTTGGTCAAGTGCCCTTGGCCTTGACCCAGGACTACAACTTCCCCTATCACTGCCCAAGCATCATCAGTCTGTCAAGCATATCCAGCTCTCTGATGCCTGAAAGCATTGGCTATGTGCTTCTGCAGGTAAGTGCTATAGAAGATCATCAAGACACAGATATCTGTCCATGTTTCTCTTAATGTTGGTTAGAGAGTGGAAGAGGCCCCATGCAAACTATGTCTGTTGTGATGGGGATTGGGTGGCCATGATGGTTGATGTACATTAATAATACAAGGACTTATGACCATTACTAGTAACTTTTTACTGGACAGAATTTGTGTCATCATACTTCCTTGTTGGTTTGCCTGATTCCAGAAAATCATAGATCTGTCCTTATGTAGATACTTGTGAATGGTTCTGATATGTGAAAAGTTTATTATTCTTGTCACTTGTTATGTCCCTACCTCTCAATGATCTCTGTGTCTGTATTTCAGGAGTGTCTGTGGCTCAACTCTATCCTGTGTCACATAAGACAGCAGATCAGTGACCTACAGAGCTGTCTGCTTGGTGGCCCTGAAGCTCTGCCACAGTCCCATCTTAGTACTGTCTACAGCCTGCAAGAAGAACATGTCCCAGTGTCGTGGATACACCCCAACTGTCAGCCCTGTACACACTCTCTAGTGTCCTGGTTTGCAGGTCAGTCATGTGCTAGATACACCCCAACTGTCAGCCCTGCACACACTCTCTAGTGTCCTGGTTTGCAGGTCAGTCATGTGCTAGATACACCCAACTGTCAGCCCTGTACACACTCTCTAGTGTCCTGGTTTGCAGGTCAGTCACTTGCTAGATACACCCAAACTGTCAGCCCTGCACACATTCTCTAGTGTCGTGGTTTGCAGGTCAGTCATGTGCTAGATACACCCCAACTGTCAGCCCTGTACACACTCTCTAGTGTCCTGGTTTGCAGGTCAGTCATGTGCTAGATACACCGTAATTGTCAGCCCTGCACACACTCTCTAGTGTCCTGGTTTGCAGGTCAGTCATGTGCTAGATACACCGTAATTGTCAGCCCTGCACACACTCTCTAGTGTCCTGGTTTGCAGGTCAGTCATGTGCTAGATACACCCTAACTGTCAGCCCTGTAACACTCTCTAGTGTCCTGGTTTGCAGGTCAGTTATGTGCTAGATACACCCCAACTGTCAGCCCTGTAACACTCTCTAGTGTCCTGGTTTGCAGGTCAGTCATGTGCTAGATACACCCCAACTGTCAGCCCTGTAACACTCTCTAGTGTCCTGGTTTGCAGGTCAGTCATGTGCTAGATACACCCTAACTGTCAGCCCTGTAACACTCTCTAGTGTCGTGGTTTGCAGGTCAGTCATGTGCTAGATACACCCCAACTGTCAGCCCTGTAACACTATCTAGTGTCCTGGTTTTTCAGGTCAGTCATGTGCTAGATACACCCCAACTGTCGGCCCTGCACACACTCTCTAGTGTCCTGGTTTGCAGGTCAGTCATGTGCTAGATACACCCCAACTGTCAGCCCTGCACACATTCTCTAGTGTCCTGGTTTGCAGGTCAGTCATGTGCTAGATACACCGCAACTGTCAGCCCTGTAACACTCTCTAGTGTCCTGATTTGCAGGTCAGTCATGTGCTAGATACACCCCAACTGTCAGCCCTGTACACACTCTCTAGTGTCCTGGTTTGCAGGTCAGTCATGTGCTAGATACACCTCATCTTGATGGTGTGTTATTTTCATGTCCTTATTGTGAATATATGGTTGTCTCTGTTGATCAGATAAGAAGAAGAGGTACCAGCAGCTGCAGTCCTGGGTCAGGCGAGGGATGGTCCCAACATTTAAAGACAATGGTCAGTTACAGGACAACCCAACCATAGCTTGTGGTCAACTGTCAACCGTGTGGCTGGGAGGCCTGGTCAACCCTATGTCACTGTTGTCAGCCTACAGACAGGAGAAGGCTATTGTGTGCAAGTGTGATATAGATCAGGTACGTACCAGTTAGAATACTGTGTGTCTTTGAAGGTTTATTATACACCTATTGCTATAATAAACCTATAGCCACTTTTGCCTGAATGGTATTGTAGTTCTGTATCTTGCTATCTCATAGTGACCTTGTGACAGGTGATACTTTCATTCAAGTAAGACCTGCTGAGAGGTTTTACATTTTAAAAAAATATTTCTAATGTTACAGCTTTGTTTGATTTTAGTCGTTGTTTCTTCTATTTTCTGAGTAGAGCTTCAGAACAAATAAAAAAAAGGTTAAAGTAACTTTCATCATCTTTTCTGATTATTTTGGGGCTCTGATTTGTCAAATCTGTAACTATCTAAAATATATGAAATAATGTGTCCATAGTGTTAATGTTGGATATGATTGATCACATGTTCATATGTGATTGATATGTATTCACATATGATTGGACCCATGAAGATCCGGGTAAGAATAGGTCATCATCAACTGATGCTTGTCCTAAGTGGCAACTATGCTTGTCACAAGAAGCGACTTACAGGATCGGGAGGTCAGGTTCGCTTCCTTGGTTGATGCATGTCATCGTATCCCAATTGTGTGGATCGATGCTCATGATGCCAATCACAGGATTGTTTGGTTCTGACTCCATCATTTGCAGACCGTCTTCATATAGCTTGAATATTGCTGAGTGCAGCATAAAAACAGCAAATCAACAAATACATATCATTGATCATGTTTTCACAAGTGATTTATCATGTTTTCACAGGAGATTTATCATGTTTCCATATGTGATTTATCATAGTTTCACACATTATTGGTCATGTGTGCGCATACATACTTGATCACATGTTCAAACGTGATTGATCTTTGCTTGTCATTGATCATGTTTTCACATGTCATTGATCAAATTTCACATATGATTGATCATGTATTTACATTTTGATTGTTATGCTTTCACATACGATTGATCATGCTTTCACATGTGGTTGATCATGTTTTCACATGTGGTTGATGATATTTTCGCATATGATTGTAATGTGTTCACATGTGATTTGTATGTTTCAGATTGTGTTTGAGTGTGATGTCCTCAACACGACTGACACGGAGGACATAGAGATGGAGGATGGTTTATTCCTGATTAACACACATCTACAAGGAGCAGGCTGGAACTTCGACAAGGACATGTTGAGGGAATCAAAGTGAGCACTCATTAGAATTACTGCTAGAGCATGTTCAGATAGATGGCACATTGTACACAATTCTAGTTAACTTGTTCAGGGCCAGTTACAGTTGTGACAGACACTACACATGAATGATGATCACAAGGACATGTTGAGAAAGGCGGCACACCGTGCACGATTCTAGTTAACTTGTTCAGGGCAAGTTACAGTTGTGACAGATACTACACATGTGTGATGATCACAAGGACATGTTGAAAAAGGTGGCACACCGTGCACGATTCTAGTTAACTTGTTCAGGCCCAGTTACAGTTGTGACAGATACTACACATGACTAATGATCACTAGGACATGTTGAGAAAGGTGGCACATCATGCATGATTCTAGTTAACTTGTTCAGGCCCAGTTACAGTTGTGACAGACACTACACATGTGTGATGATCACAAGGACATGGTTGAGAAAGGTGGCGCATCATGCATGATTCTAGTTAACTTGTTCAGGCCCAGTTACAGTTGTGACAGATACTACACATGTGTGATGATCACAAGGACATGGTTGAGAAAGGTGGCACATCATGCATGATTCTAGTTAACTTGTTCAGGCCCAGTTACAGTTGTGACAGGTACTACACATGTGTGATGATCACAAGGACATGGTTGAGAAAGGTGGCGCATCATGCATGATTCTAGTTAACTTGTTCAGGCCCAGTTACAGTTGTGACAGGTACTACACATGACTAATGATCACAAGGACATGTTGAGGTAATCAAAGTGAGCACTCACTACTCACAGAATTTCTGGAGAGCATGTTGAGATAGATGGCACACTCCACTTTCTCAATCTTCATAGTCCCTACCATACGTGTGGCCCAGTTGTCTAAGCACCGAAATTTGTCTTGAAGTATACAAAAACATATAAAATATGTGCAATATAGTTAATTCCCTTGCTGCATTTTCAGAGATTAAATTGTTTTCTTCCAGGAGAGCGTTGTTTGAGGTCCCATGTTTGTACGTGAAGCTGATGAAGAAACCAACTCCACAGCCAGCTGAGAGGGAAGGAGACGGTGACATGGAGGAATTCAATGAAAACATCTACCATTGCCCTGTCTACATGAACAGAGTGAGCTCTTTGTGGTCTATCAGTTCTGATGTAACAGTTCATCAATAAGTAGCAGTAGCACAAAACCATTGTGACGATATAATATCATCATATTGACAATTGTCACAATATGTATGTCCTGATATTGATCTTGACAAGTGTCACAATGCATCATATCCCTAGACCGCCTCCGTGGTCTAGTGGTAGAGCGTTGATACGGAGAGCGGAAGGTCCGGGGTTTGATCCCGGCTGTGTCATACCAAAAGACATTAAAAGGTGGTACTCTGTGTGGCATTAAGGGCCTAAAACAAGGACTGGTCGGATGGGAGTCAGTGTACTGTATCTGAGTGGGGTATTCATGTGGGGTATTCATGCGGCATGGTATCTCAGTGAGCTAGCAGTATAAATCGGCATCACCCTGACAAGTACAAGCAGCCCCACACACACATGTGCATGTACGTTGCTATGTAAGTGCAATAATCTTGGACGTGCCGTTAAACCCAATTTCATATCACCTTACCTCATATCCTGATATTGAAAAGTGTCACAATTCATCATGTCCTGATATTGACAAGTGGCACAACACCTAATGCCCTAATATTGACAATTGTCACAATACATCCTATCCTGATATTGTCAAGTTTAACAAGACCTCATGTCCTGATATTGACAATTGTCACAATACATCCCACAGAGCTACATATAAGCTGAGTATTTGCGTCCTGATATTGATCTTGACAAGTGTCACAACACATCATGTCCTGATATTGACAATTGACACAATACATCCTATCCTGATCGTGTCAAGTGTCACAATAAATCATATCCTGATATTGAGAAGTGTCACAATACACCATGTCCTGATATTGACAAGTGCCATAATACATCATGTCCGGATATTGACAAGTGCCACAATACATCATGTCCGGATATTGTCAAGTGCCACAATACATCATGTCCGGATATTGTCAAGTGCCACAATACATCATGTCCGGATATTGTCAAGTGCCACAATACATCATGTCCGGATATTGACAAGTGCCACAATACATCATGTCGTGATATTGACAAGTGCCACAATACCTCATGTCCTGTATTATTACTTTTGAGCCTGATAATCACACACATTGCCTGACCAGTGACCAACACATGCTCCGTGACCTGTAGGCTTCAAGGTTGAAATGTAGCCACAACAAATACTACTTATAGCTTCACCAATACTCCAAACAGTGTAGTCCCATGTTAACACTATCAAATGTTTAACTTACCTGTCACATTTCACCAAATAAGCCAAATAAAAAATAGAAAAATTGAAACTTTACTCTTTTTTCTCGTGTTACTCATCCCTTTTTGAAGGGACTTTTTTCGTTGTATATTTTAAATGACCACCCCAGGTTTTGAGAAAACAAGTACATTAACCAACAGTTACTGATAAAGAAAAACCTGACTGATGTGGTGTGTATACAATTCCTTCTGTTGCAGAGCCGACAGATGCTAGTCACCCATCTTCCTATCAAGTGTCCCTCACCTGTAGAGCGATGGGGACTCTCTCGCACTGCTCTCATCCTGGATCCTGGTGAGTCCCATTCACATATTACCAGTTGTGATCCTCGAGTCTGTCAGTCTTCCAATTTAATGACCAGTCCTGAACCAGTGTTCAGTAAAATTTCATTCATTCCGCTGCACTAAACAGATATGTAGTGAAAAGACTTTGTAAGACAACTTAAGGTTAGTACCAGTAGGCTAGTGTGTTCACAAGAGCTTCTATCACAGACTAGTATTTTACTAGTCCTACTAGATGTAAGTGGCTAGAAAGTAAGATGCCTATACCCCCTGTAAGTAGTGACTTGGGTTGAGTGGATGCAGCCCTGAGACACATTGATTACAATTTGTTAATGCTCTTAGTCAGATAAGTATTGTTTGTTTTCCAGGATTGCCAGAGGATGGAACAAAGAAATCCCGGTCCTACTTGCTGCTACAACGCCTCCCACTGAGTCAACGAGAAGGTGAGGAGATGGGGGAAGAGGAGGACCTAGAGGAACAAACCCAACAGCCAGATACTGCTCACACAGAGGCTGCTTCTGTCAAGTCACGGTCAAACCAGTCGGTCAAGTCTCAGCAGTCTTCCCAATCCCAGCTGTCCTACAGACCAATGTCCCCTAAAGCTGACCCCCTTCCACTAGGGCTTGGTCTCACAAGAGAAAGACCCATGGTCCGGGATGCTGCTCCAGATGCTGCTCCGAAACACCCTTCATCTCGCCCTCCCTCAAAGCCCAGCAGTGCTAACAGTAACAAGTCCTTTAACAGAAGACCAGTTTCCAGAGGATCAGGAATCAGTGCTGGTTCTCGTGGTACTGAGGGAAGAAAAAGCAGCGGCAGGTCGCAGGGTATGGATGGTGGCCAGGCAAAGGACAGTGCACATCTCAGGGAGCTGGATAAAAGGGGCAAGGAGCCAACAGAAGAACAACTTGACCGTCAGTCTGAGGACCAGAGAGGATCTGATAAGGCAGGGTCTACTGGCAATGTTATCAGAGCAAGTCAGGAGAGACGTCCATCTCAGAAGTCAGTTATCAGTGGTGGGAGAAAGGTTTCTGAAACATCACAGAAGTCTGTTGGTTTGAATCAGACAACTGGATCAATTGCCTCCAGACAAGCCTCTCCTGCATCTCTGGGTCAGACAAGCGGGAACAGACCTCCATCCAACCAGTCTCGAACATCAGGACAGAGAGCGGATGGAAATACGCAGAGACGATCATCAAACATTTCACAGATATCTGCTCAAAGGACCGATGGCACCAGGCCACCTTCTAACACCTCCAGGACATCCCAGGGGAGAAGGATCTCTGAGACAGGGTCACAACGTAGAAATCTAAATAAGACCAACAATGCAGATGATGAAGACAGGGTGGGAGTGAATGATGGGAGTGCAGTGGAAGTTGATGTGGAGAGAGTTGCATCATCAACATCACTGAAGTCCACAGATTCTCAGCCACAGATGGTGCAGGAAATACATGATGAATCTGACCTGGCTCGAGGCTCCGAGATTGAAGATGCTGATATGGTAGGGAGGAGAGAGGCTAAGCCACAGTACTAGTATCTGTATAAACTGATATGGCGCTGTGCTAGATCGCCAGATGCTGAGACAGACACAATCTGGCTGTGTCACCTCGCAGACAGTGTTCCTCTTGAACAAGTTGGTCAGTGTTTGGGTATGTTCTTTCACTGCTTCGAATGACGGGCTGATGGTCCAACAGAGACAATCTGGGTCTGTCACAATAGCAGCAGTGTTCCTCTCAAATAAGTTGGTCAGTGTTTGTGTATGTTCATTCACTGCTCAGATTGATGGCGTGAATGTCAGTCTGTGTCTCAACCCCTGCACCATCTCTGCCTTCAGTACCTTCAGTATAAGCACAGCATCATTGAATATATTTATTGACCAGTGACAAACCTCTCTTGCTATGTACTTAAAATGAAAGGTTATTTTTCATCTCATTATTACTGCTTCATCCTCGTGCATCCTTGTATGGTTTCAGAATTTTGATTTTGTGACAACATGCTTCACCATGTGTGAATATTTCATGACAGACAATTTTGCTCATTTGTTGATGAGTTGAGAATCTTTGTATAAGCTGTGATACTGTTTGTTCCTGAACTGGATGATATTCACATTTTCTGATATTGAATTAACTATCTTGTGTTGAAATTACTGTGTGTATCAGAATTATAATCCGTCCATAGTCTGTCTGTGATAACAGATTTGTGAATGTTTTTCCAATTTCAATTAGTCACACAAAAAACATCCATTGTCAAAGATTATGACAATAGACATGATAATGATGTTTCATTCTGTTGCTTTTTACCTTCACATCCAGTATTATTTATACCATTTATTGTGATTTACATATATCTGTTTTACCTCAATATATGTGTCGTTTAGGCCAGGTTTCTTTTAATTTGTTGGTTTTAGGATATTTTCAGTTCTGGAAATCATCATTTGAATATACTGCTATGTGTGCAGTATTTATGAAATAGTTTAACAGTTGTATGCAGAACAAATTATCCAAAGTACACAAAAGAAATTCATTTTCTTCCACATTTCCATTTATGGGTTTGTCAGGTCCATTGACATATTTTTGAAAGAAATCTGGCCTTACATGTACTTTGTGTTGGATACACTCAATGCAATTAAAATACTGATGATGAACTCCTTCTTTGTTCTAATATTAAGGTGCTACATGCGGTTCAGGGCAATGTGTTAGCACATAAAGTGACATGAACATTAAGGATATTGAATATTTCTTCTGCTTTGCACAATATATCACAGGAAAATACTATAATTACGAAACTTCTACCTCTAAAACATATCTGCCATAAATCCTGTAATTTGGCTTCAATCACACTAACTAATATTTTCATATTTTGAACAGACGTCCTGTTCACTGTCAATTACACACAACTAGTTGTCGCCAAGTAGTCTAGTAACTACCCAAGCCATGATGTCATAATGGCGACAACCTCACTTTTTTGTCTTGTGTGTGCTAGAGTTAACACCCACTTTAGTAGTAATGACAATCTAGCACCTGGTAGTAGGTCACGTTAAGTTTGCCACTGTCTTTTGGCTTCAATCCCACTTACTAAAATTTTCAGATTTTGAGCAAATGTCTTCTTCACTGTAAATTACCTCAACTAGTTGTCGCCAAGTAGTCTCGTAACTGCCCTACCCATGACATCATAATGGCGGCAACCTACTTTTTCCTGTGTGTGCTACACCTACTACAGTAGTAGTCAACACCTACTACAATAGTAATGACAATCTATCACCTGGTAGTAGATATCACATTAACCTAAGATTATTGTAATCAGATTGCCATAATAACAGGCATATAACTATATGATATAATTCTTACGAAACTTCTACCTCTTTACATATCTGCCATAAATACTGTATTTTGGCTTCAATCACACTAACTGAAATTTTCAGGCTTTTAATAGACATCCTCTTCACTGTGAATTCAACACAATTAGTTGCCGCCAAGTAGTCTGTGACGTCACATCAAAGTAATTTTATATCTGCCAGTGTTTTAATCGAAGCATATTTGTTGGTTTTAAATCTCCGGCTAAACCCTATCAACGGTCGCCAGTGACTAAAGGGATGGTGTAAAAATCCTGCTGGGGTCCATGCAGGTAGCAAAGGTACTGTAAGTCCCCATGGTCCTCAGTATGGTGTCCTCACTTTAGTTGCTGGTGATATATAGCCCAATTTTATCTATTGTAATGTTATGAATTGTCATATTTTATGGTTCTGTACTAGTTTTAAACATATATCTGTGATAATCTAGTTGTTTTACTGTCCTTCGTCGACAGATTTTTATACAGTTTACATATATGTTATAAAAGTCACATTTTCTCTCGTCACGATATGGCTGCAATATTGCCGATGTGACGTTAAATATTAACTCACTCACTCACTCACTCACAGTCAAGTCAGACTAGTTCACAGCCTCCATGACTCAGTCGTTAAGATGCAGTAGATTTACTGGGTTATAGCGAAAACGGCACCTCAGCAAAACGTCACCGGGCGAAAACGGCACCGATTGGCGAAAACGGCACCTCGACTCAAGCGAAAACGGCACCTCGACTCGAGCGGAAACGGCACCTTATTTTTTTTTTTACCTTGGTCAAATGAATGATATTAAATTTACATTGTAACTTGCAAAGGCCAATAATTGTGAGACGTTAAAACAAGTTTACATTAGAAATTAGCCTCTGCTCCAACTATAATCCAACTTAGCCTCCCAAGTCTGGACTTCCTCAAAATTACTGAGACTACAGTGACAACAGCTCCTATTTCAGATTGGTCCAAGGGCCGTATCTAAAAAGACCAAGAAGTTCGTAACGTCGCAACCAATACAGCCGAGCGTTTCCAGACTTCAACCATAGACCTTGCGGCGAGAGCGCATGTGCCATCAGTCTCACAAGCGACCCTGGGACCATAAGTCATCTGCGTCAAAACAGGGATTGCCTAAAAGTCGGGCCGGGCCGGGTCGGGCCAAGACGGGCCAAAGTGTCACTGGCTAATTACTTCATTATCGGCGATCATACCTACATATAATTGATGAAACATACACACATGACATTAATGAACACTCACCAAACAAAAAAGTGCACCATAAATAAGTAATTCGGAGTAAATCGCTTGAAAACCAGAAAGTGGAGCTGTGTGTAAGCGTCGCTGATCTTGGTAACATGTAAAAGAGCAATCGTTAAACGAAATAAGATTTGAAACGTATCAAATACTTCTAGCTATCGTGATACAAATTTCCATCTGTCGGCATAGCGTTTATATTTATAGGAACGTACTATATATAAGTAAATACTACTTTATAATGTCACTGATCGTCGTATTTAAAGCAGACACGTTGGTTAAAGTAGTGATCCGATCACAAACCGCACAGGTTTCGGAGTCCACATAGCACAACCAAATAGGAATACGCAATCTTTTCGACTCCCAAACAACCAATCAATCTTCACTGCAGAGCTTATGGGCATGGCCACAGCCCTCCATAACCAGCACACTAAAAACCATAAAAAAATCCTAATACTCACAGACTCACTGAGTGGACTTCGGGCCCTCCAAAATAAAAACACCAAAAATCGCCCTAAACTCATAAACCAAATACTCAAAAGCGCAAATAACCTAACAGAGGCAGGCAAGCAAATAGTATTCATCTGGATCCCAGCCCACGTAGGAATATACGGAAACGAAAACGCCGACCAAGCCGCTAAACAATCCCTCAAAATACCCGAAATAAGCCTAAAGCTACCAATATCTAAATCAGACATCAAAAGTATCAACAAACGTAAAATCACTCCACTATGGCATAACCTCTATCTAAAAACAAATTCCCAAATCATAAAAATCCTCAAAAAAAAACCTTACCAAACCAAAAATCCTCCGCCCCTCTAAAAAAATCGATAGAATTATCACCAAACTCCAAACAGGCCACACCAAACTTAATAGCCAACTCCTAAAAATGAAAAAAACACACAACCGGGAAGTGCCCACACTGCACACACCTAGAAACCATAGAACACGCACTCTAACAGTGCACCCACTACCACACCCACCGAGCAACATTACAAAGAAACCTAAATCTAAATAAGGCTCTTACCCTAGAAACAATCCTAAACCCACAAAATAACATAGAAAAATTTAAAGCCCTAGGCGTATACTTAACTAAAACAGACCTAATCAATCGCATCTAAAATAATCCAACCACCCAACACACCACATATACCAACAAACACACCTTAACAAACTCCCTTAGTCCCCACCACACCCCCCAGGCATTCATTCCAAATTTCAAAATTTCAAAATCTTATATAAGCAACCACTAAAAACCCCCCTCTCTGGTTGCAAAACTTTTCGTTTTCCATTTCAAACCACTAAATGGCCCGGCCGGGCCCGTGTGCGAAATACGCTTCAGTCGGAAAGCGCACGTAAAATCTCCTAGTATAAGTAAGTAAGTAAGTAAGTTAAAGTAGACCTCTTCTCCCTATACTCTCAACAGTCACACAAGTGACATGGCCCGGGCTGTCAAAATCAGCTTTAAACTCACATATGTATCATCAAATGGATTCACATCTATAAACTAATATAATATCTACCTGAATACCACTTTATAGTGTCTCAGATCGCTGTACCGATTTGGCCCGGGCGGTCAAAATGCACTTTAAACACACAAATGTATCATCAAATGTCTTTAAATCTATAGACTAGCATTATATCTACCCATATACCACTTTATAGTGTCTCAGTTCACTGTATTTAAAGAAAACAAGGGGCTCAAAGTGAAGACCTTTTCCCTCTACATTCTCAACATAGTCTCTATCAGAAGTGTTTTGCTTGTGTTGGGTCCGACTTGGCCCGGACCGTCAAACTCAACTTTAAACACACAGATGTATCTTCAAATGTGTTTACATCTATAGATTAGTGTTATATCTACCTATATACCACTTTAAAATGTCACGGTACATCGTATTTAAAGAAAACAAGGGGCTCAAAGTGAAGCATTTTTACTGTATTTTCTTAAGAAAATCCAAGTCAGAAGTGTTCGGTCCGACTTGGCCCGGGCTGTCAAAATCAACTTAAACCTCACAGATGTATCATCAAATGGATCCACATCTTTCGATTAGTATTATATCTACCTAAATACCACTATATAATGTCACAGATGGCTGTACTTAAAGAAAACAAGGTGCTCAAAGTGAAGCCCTTTTCCCCACCAACAACAAATAACCACCGCAACCTCCTCCGCCTCCTAAACACAACTCACCCAGTAAAAACAACAAACCAACTCACCTCCCCAAAACACCACTCCCACTCCACCACCACTCACCACAACACACGCTCTCCAACTCTCCAACACAACACCCAAACAACATGACTGACACCCGCAACGTTCCATCTCCTTACTCACCCACGCCTGCGGAAGCGCACAACACTTCCGGGAGGTCACTCGAAAACATCGTCCCGACCGAGTATGGCGAAAATACGAAACACACCACCCCCACCAAACCAGCCAACTCGCCACCTCAAAACACCAAAAAACGCAAACTCGACACATCCACTCCACCTCCATCGCCCACACCCTCCCCGGCCGCCTTCCTCACCACCTTCGCCCTCTACTTCTTCTCCGCAGGTTCAGGCACCACACTCACACACCAACTTTCAATAGACAAAATAGGACTCTGGTTCAAACGAGAAAAGATAAACTACAGCAACATTAAAAAAGCCAACAAAGGATACCAAATTATTTTCCCTAACCAAGAATCCTTCTGGCAGCCAATAAATTAACTCAAATATTCCACGTTACCGTAATCAAACAAAAACCAAACTGGCAGCAATACACACGAAGCGTAATTAGAGTCAATCCAAGAGAAACAACTGAAGATTTAGAACTTTACTCCCTAGAAGCAAACATAAACCAAGACCTAAACCCTCAACTCCAAATCACAAGTACCCGCAGAATCACCTCAACTAGAAATGGAAAAACGGTCCCAACCTCAATTGTTATCATCAACTTCCAAAAGACCGCTAGATTTCCCGAAGCCCCTAAACACATATCTTTCGGAGCCCACACTAGTTTAGAAGTCAAACCCTATATAAAACAGGTCAAACAATGTTCCAACTGCCTCAAATAT